GCCCACTGGAGCAAGTGGTCGATCTCCATAGATTACGTTGGCTGGGACATGTGTTACGCATGTCACCAGGTAGGTTACCACGGCGAGCGATGTTCGCCGAAGCAGATACCGAGTGGAAAAAGCCAAGGGTGGTCAAGTTAAGACCTGGCACGAGGGTATGAAAACCCTAACCAGGAAACTGGGTCACATAGGTCCTGTTAGGCTCCCCGGCTGGGGACCTCGGGATGATCGTAACCGATGGTTAGAGACACTGAGTGATATGGCTGGGTGTCGTAAACAGTGGCGCTCGTGGATCTCCTCAATTTCTTTCCAACCTCAGTCCACTGAACCTTCTGTTCGACTCCACTTTCAACTTTCCTTTCTTCTCCTATTCTTCATCCAAATGGGCAGTCAAAAGACAGCAACCTAAACCGGCGCACGAAAGTGCATGGTTAATGGTTGTCCAAACTGAAACTGAAAAGCTCGTGCAAATCGAGTTTTTCTTTCATTAGTTTCTGTTTTCCTTCGCATCATTGAGTTGTGATGTATGATGTTGATGGAATTTCGCCAGCGATCACTTGTCCATGCAGATAGTAGTTTCTGTTTTTACAACCGTTAAACATTTTTAACAGAATAGCTGATAAACCCCATGGTTGAAAGGCCTTTCTGTTCCTTCAATGAAATGTGCAATCAAAGTTCCGTAACCTAAAGAAGAGCTTCATGTGGAATCCCGACAGAATAGATGCACTATGAAGCCGAACAACTGCGAAGCCGCCCTTACTGTTTTGCGACAGTGTGCTTTTGAAGTCTGTTCTGGGTTTCTGTAAATTTTCTCAAACTCAGCCGAGGCTTGCTTGTGCGAACTTTTCGGGTATCAAAAATTATATAAATGAAGTAGCAATTTAAGTGGGAAACGGCGTTTGTTATCACTTATCCCATCCTGGTAAATCAGTGTTGTTTCATATGCTCTAAAACATGAACCAATTCATGAAAATAACCAATTGGTGGTCGTAGTGTATTTATTTTTCCTGTTTATAGAATGAAAGGCACTTCCTAGTTAGTAAAGAGTAATTGTTTACATTATACGAGTACTGCAACAATGGGTGCTCATGACAAGTAGCGGTAAGGATAAGGTCCATTGTCCCCTGTCGTCTTCTCGGGTTATGCATGACCGACTATGATAAATGTAGCCAAAATCGTTTACGAAACAGATTGAATGGCAAAGTCAATATTTTAATGTGTGAATGACTTACACGCTGTTGCTTCTTATATCCCCTTAAGAATTTTACACACGTAAATCGGTTCTCCGTAAAAATCAATTTTCACGTAGATTTCCAGTTACGGGGATAACAGTCTTCAACGAATTTGCGTTTATTTTTAGTTGTGTAAGAATGTGAGGTGTACCAGGGTTTCATCTAGTTTCGCTTGAAAGATCCAATAGTTGGTGCACAAACGACGTGAAATTTAAGGGTGTTCCAAGTATTGCATACTCTGATTGCAAAAGATTGGCGCCGGCATTCCAGTCGACCCTTTGAAATCATTAACTTGAAACGATGTCCCGTAAGGTATATATTGTTTGACAACGTGAGCAACGGCCGACATGGATGGTTTGGGTTCTGCAATATTTGATACGTCAAAATCAAGTCTCCTCGAGTTCGGCGGTACTGAACAGAATATAGTCCCAATGATCGTAATCTCTCCTTATAGGTGAGGCAATGCAATCCCTTGACCATCTTGGTGGCAATCCTTTGTGGGCGCTCAAGTATCTTGCGATCGCGTTGCAATCACGAAATCCAGGCTTGGATAGCGTACTCTGCGTGCCTTCGAATGTATACTGATAGCAAATGTGGGAAGAGTGTTGATTCAAACCGACCAAAGACTCGCCTAAGCAAGCTGACATTCTTCACAGCCGCGGTCGAAGCCCTAGCGCAATTGATCGAGCAACTTAAGTCCTCTTGAACAACAACACCTAAGTCCTTTTCACTTGAGGCATGTGGTAGCTGCTGATTCGCGAAAAATATACGAGAATCCTGTGGCACAGGGATAGGACTTGGTATTTAGAAACACAATTCAATATCATTCTCCTTAGACCATTGATAAGCTGCGTTGGGTGTTTCTTGAAGTGCTAGAGAGCCATCGGGTTTTGTTACTGTATTCCAGGTTTTGGAGTCTTCTGCAAGTATTATTGTTTTTGGACCTAACACTTTCGGTAGATCATCTATGAATGCGAGGAAAAAAACGGGGAACGAGTACAGACCCCTGTGGAACGCCGCGGGTGATGTTGATACATCCGGATAGGGAATCCGACACACGAACTGATATGGTTCGATGTCGGAGGATGCACTCCCTGCCCCCTGATGCACCGGTCTAAAGTCGGCCAATGTTAGCACAATTGAATATCTGTGTCTCTGTCTCTGAGCAAGTGCGAAACATGATTTTTCGTGTTTTTCCCCTGTATTGTATTGTATTTGTAACTTGTGTAAACATATATGCTTACATTTCAGTTAAAAATGTACATTGTTCGTCGCGCAGAATGAAATAAAAATAATAAAAAGAAAAGGTACAGAATGTCGGTCATACACGTTTCATGTACAGAGCATTTTACT